CCATTTTCTTTCGGGAGATCTACTCTTGCATGGTCTGCCTTCTTCTTTTATTTCGGACCATAAGACTCAGTTTCTTGCTTTTTTTTGGCGTAGCTTATGGTGGATAGCCAACACTCGTCTGGATGTTGGCAATGCCAATCACCCCTAGACAGACAGACAAACTGAAGTTGTGAATCGCTCAATGGGGATTTTGCTTCGTTGTCTGGTTGGTGAGAACCTTCGCAGTTAGCACCGACGGCTATGCCAAGCTGAATTTGCACACAAGTCGGCCGTGAGTCTGGCCACGGGCTTCTCTTCTTTCCAGATCTGTGTATACCATGCAGCCACATGGCCCTTCCGATTTGTTGGCATTATCGTTCGCTGTAGGAGCTGACCAACGGGCAGAAGATCTTATGGCCGATTTACAACAGACGCATGCCGCGGTCACGCACATTTGGAGAAGGTGACGACTGCATATAAGCGTCACACAGATGCTCGACACCAGCACGTGGAGTTTGAGGAGGGTGACTATGTATGGGTGGGTCTGACCAAGGACATATTTACGGCTCACAAGTACAACAAGCCCTTCTCCCAAAAGATTGGCCCAGTCGAGATTATCGAGAAGATCAATCTGAATGCTTATCGTCTCCTTCTATCGTCGTACATTTGTACGTCTGGCGTGTTTGTAAAGAATCGAGCTTATAATTTGTTGGATGATGAGTTTTTAGTACTTTTCTGTCAGAAGCTTAAGAAATTAGAGAGATGAAGATGATAATGGATAATCGGGGAGAGAAAAAGAGATAGAGAAAAAAAGTAGAGAGAGAGAGAGAGACATAATTTGTTAATAACTAATTTGATACCATTTGCATGTTTCCTGAGGCCATATATGGCAAGTGCACAGTGGGGCCACCCAATATTCCTTACACATAATACTAAATGAAATAAATGAAAAGTAGATAAATGCTAATAATATGGGCTTATGTGGTAGCATGCCAAAAATAAATAAACGGGCCGCCTAACATTCCGGCCCACTAATTCTCTGCAGTGTTTGGCTTCAGTTTTGGGCCCTGTGGTCACCTACAGCCCACTCGCTCAAGCCCAAAGTGTCTTGACCCATTGCTTAGTCTGAATTCATTATCTTCTCCTCAATGCAATTAGGGTTCATCTTCAATCCCGTTTCCCCCTTTTTCCTCTCAATCACCAAAGACGCGAACTTTCTCTCTTCTGCACTCGAATCCACCATTGCCTCGTCTGAATTCGTTATCTTCTCCTGAATGCAATTAGGGCTCATCTTCAATCCCGTTTCCCAATTTTTCCTCTTAATCACCAGAGATGCTAACTTTCTCTCTTCAGCACTAGAATACACCAGTTCCTTGCTTATGTTCATAACATTGTTCAACGTCATGCATCCAGTTCCTTAACATGGCGACCATTTCGACAATGATGATATCGCTTCGGATTCGAGGACGAAACCTCCTCAACCGGGAAAGGATGATGGCGACAAGATCGCGTCGGGTTTAGAAAATATATTATTTATTGCCAATTATTATTTATCTTATTTATTTTATTTGCTTTATTTATTAAGAGAATAATTAATATCTTGTTAGCATGTTAAGTAGTTAGACTAAGAATCTATTTATTGGAATTTATCTTCTCATTATTCGATTGGTTTTTATCAATTAAGAGCATAAATCTCTTGAGTTTTACTCTCTTTTCCTATCGTACGCTTATGCTACATCAAATATCCTATGATTAGGAGAGTATTCAATATGTGTCTCGTCTTTATCGTATAGTAGAACTATTTGATCACATCATAGTTCTTTGACCTAGATTGGCCATTGGGTTGACGTGGACTAGTATGAGTGGGTTCTTCATACGATTAAGGATCAGACACTCGGTCGACCCAGCCTAGACTCAGTCGATCCGGGTATTGACCAAGCGGGTCAACCTTGTATGACGCAACCATAATCTTTTTTATAGTTTTTTAAATATATATTTATTTATAAATATTAATTATGGGATGCAATATTTTTAAGATTTTTTTAGGTATAAAATTTTTATACAAATTATTTTTTCTACTTTTATGTATATATAAATATAACAATAATATATATATATGTGTGTGTGTGTGTGTGTGTGTGTGTGTGTGTGTGTGTGTGATTGAAAAGAAAATTAAAATTAATTACTCGATTCAACAATTGACTCGGTGACTCAATTGTCGAACAGATAACCTGAAGGCTAGCTATATTTATAATTGTACAATTATGTGTCTCTATACATGGATGTTAATAGAAAAAAAAAAAACTTTTATTTCACCATGTTTATATTAATATAAATATATATATATATATATATACTTTATTTGTTTTAAAAATAATTTTATTTTTATATATAGGTTAATTAATATCTAGTGTTGATATTTTTTTCCATTTATTTAATTTCCTAACTATAAAATTGAACGATTAAATATATATCAATTTGAAGTATATGAATGATTTCCTCATACTGTATCATACTCATTGTACTAAAAATCGACTTAGGCGGTCGCCTCTGAATTTCATGAATCGGTTGAAAAAATCAGAGAGGTGGCTAGGCGGCAACTGGGCGGGCCTAGGCACTTCTAGGCGAGGCCTAGTTGCTTCTAGGGAGAGGTGAGCATGGGTCGATACGTTTCGGAGATTGAGGAATCTCTGGAACCATACCAAAAAATGGGGACAGTTGGGTTCGAAGATTTGTATTTTTTGATTCAGTTCAGATCGGTATTCGAGACTATTGGAATGGTTCGGTTTGGTATGGCTCGGTTCAGATCTTCGGAGATTTCTTATTTTTTATTTTCTATTGTTTTTAAATGACTACCTAGTTATATTTTAATTTTAATATGCTTTAAAAAAATTCATCAATACTTCATCGTATTGATTATTTTAAAATTGAAATCAACTTTAGAAGCAACTCTAAAATTTAGTTATTTAATTTTCATATGCTTTAAAAAAATCAACATTCATCAATACATTTTCATATTGAAGATTTATTTTGAAATCAACTTTAAAAGTAACTCTAAATTTTAGTTAAAACTAAATTTGTGCAACTAATCCCCGTTTTTAATATTTTCAACATACCTATTACTCTCTGGCGATAAAAGTAAAATCCTCATCCCTAAATCCTCAAAGTCTGACGTCTTCAATCTCCTTCATCTAGCCTTCCTCTGCGAACGACGACCTCTGGCTAGTGGTCGCGCTGACCGCTCGGCACATATAATTTTGTGATAGATTTAACTTTTGTTTCAAAATATTATTTCGAAAATAAGATCTTATATTTAATAATGTCTCATATGCATTACGAAAATAAAATAATCGTTTTTCATATATTTTTGTTTATGTCGTAATATAATCTTTTTATGTTACGACATCGTTATGTTATGTTTGGAAAAAGTAGCTTGAATTTATTAAATACAACCCCTTATCATTTTCACACATGAATTTATATTTACTATTCATCTTTCGTTAAGATCTCATTTATTTTTCTTTTCATTTTAACCTTTTTATGTCATAATGAAATGTTCTATTGTTTAGTGTTTTTATATTGACATTTTATTTTATTTTATATATTAAAGAAGAAAACATTGTATACTATTAAATAAACTTTTCGAGATTTGAAGGGATGGGATTTGATCGGTTTTCTTTGTGTGACATGATTGCATGAATATAGTGTAATAATTCTTAAGTAAAATAAAGATTTCAATAAAGTAATTAGTAGTATATATAATAATATAAAGAAAAGGAATATTTTTCTAAAGAGAAGAATAGGTCATTGTAGTTCCCCGTCAAAAGAGTTTTAAAGCAACCAATTCAACAACTCCACACTATGATATGACGCAGGCTGCGTCATACATGATGAATTTTTTTCTATGAAGATTAATAAAAAACATAATTATACAGGTTGCATTATAAATGTATTTTTTTTTTCTAAGAGGCCAACAAGAAAAATCATATTTTTAATTAAAGAATCTCAATTGACTAAGCGGGTGTTTGAATATCAGTTTTCTTTTTTTTTTTTTTCATCTTTATGGGCTCAATGAAAAGAATTTATACTTCACTTTTATCCGGGCAAATTCACTCATTTGATTGAAAAATAAACAAAATATTATATTTTATATATTTTTCAAGACAAAAAAAAACATTCATTCGCTCACATATTTCGAACCAATTATTATTTACTATCCGTTAATAATCAATTATTTTTATCATATCATATCATATCATATTATTTATTTATTAATATAGGAAGATGCTACCGTCTCGTTATGAAACCGTTCTGCCGGTGTTTGTAACCGTTACATCATTATGTAACCGTCGGGAGATAGTTGATCTGACGATTACAACCCCGACGGAAATGATTCCGTAAC